GGGGGGGCTGATGTGGGGCGTGGGGCTCGATGATCAGTTGAGGGGCACTTATTCGCAAAATATGGTGATTATAGGTGATTTTTAACTACTTGACCGTGATTTTTTTGGGAGGCGACTGGGGGGGGGGGCACACGAGTGATACTCACTTCCCACTCCCACACCACTAACTGAACTTGATAATGGATAAAGTTCCGATTATTATTCATTAACATTTTAGTGAGTGTAAAATGTTGCTTACCACAAGATGTGTTTGAGATGAGCTCCAAATCTGGATTGTTCCGACATCTTTCCGTCTTTAAAGCGCACCTGTCGACGTATGTGCGATTGTCCGCTCCGCAAACTTTGCCTTTGTAATCTGCGTTAGTGCACGTGAAGCCACACGGAACGCACACAGCGCCCTGGTCCGTATCTTCACATTTCTTTCCATCCATACACCTTGTGAACTCGCACGTATCAAGTGTGCCTGAAGAATTTACAAATATTTTGTACGCTTTCAAATAGGTAATAATATTGCCCTACATTCTTACATGAGCAAATACATTTTTCCATTGTGTAGTGTCGAATGCAGTGGCGGCGCCATCTTTCATGATGATGGTGGAGTGGGGGATGCACAGGCGTGACTAGACCTAGGCCTACGTGAAAAAATTTGTCCTTAAAATATGACGAAATGTAATACATTGATATTGGCAGATACTTAATGACATTTAATGACGTTGAAATAATAATGACATAAGAGATAAACCAATTAGTGGCGGCGCCAGAGATTTCTTGACGAGGGATGCAAATGCTCCAGAAAGGGGCCGGGGGCACACCCAACCTTAGCAAGCATCTGGTTGGGCTAAAGGTGAGCAACTTTCAAGCATAGGCACTTCTGATGCCCCGAAATGGCACTCTCAGACTTGTTGCCCGACAAAATTATTAGCCTCTTCCAGATGGGGAGTTCAGTGTTTTCCGACAGAGCTCCTTAACCCACCCCCACCAACACACCCTAATACTGGCGCCACCAAAAACCAAAAGAAATCCTAGTACTTACCATTACATCTATGATTAGCTATCTTAGTAACTTGTGAATAGCGACAGCTTTGTAGCTGCAATTGGCATTTTGATTCGTAGGTAATGTTGTCACTCCCACATACAAACTCACTGACGGCATCTTGACACATGGCCCAGCACTCGACACAGTAGGGTCGACCATATCGATCTTGTATACAATGACGTCCGTTTCTACAGTTCACATGCTCGCATGAATCTGAGAACAAAAAATTAACAATATTTTCACAATCTCGATTGGAAGCAACAAGTCACAGATGTGATCCAATGATGTTTGTGTATGCTTCCTCCCACACTCTAGTCCAGTTGGAGAAGGGGATATCATGACAAATTTTCATCCAACTTTTCTAGACCAATTTTTTGTGTAAATTCCGAAAATGGAGGGTGATCAGCCAGGTTCGGGGGCGTTTTCGAGATATAATGGGTCAAAGGCCAAAATTGACCAATTACTGTATAGCAATTTACGTGAATAACCAACTATGAAGTTTAAACCATCACTTTGGTATGTTTTTAGATTTCCAATTGTCATGAAATAGGTAAATGAAATTATTTTATCAGCAAATATTTGGCGTCAAAGGTCAAATTTGACCAATTAACTGCCAAATATGACAACTTACAATAATAACCAATCAGGAAAGCTACAATCATTGTGGTATATCTTTTTATGGTTTAAGTTACACAATCATCATAAAAAACCCAAATCAAACAATTTTGTCTACAATAATAAGGTAAATGATCAAAATTAAAAAAATAAAAGGAACTTAATATAATATATAACGAACCATGAAGAAACTTTTGTGTTTCTACTTTCTTAACTTTTTGATGTTAAACATCAAGTTTTTATCACTTTATATACTTCATAGATATATAATTTTAATAAAATCAATGATTTGATCACCTAATATTAAGGTCAAAGGTCAAAATTGACCAATTATAACAATTTAATACAATAAACAATTCGGAAACTGAAACATCAGTGCCTTATCATTTTATGCCTTTAGATGTCTATGTATTTGTTTAAAAAAAATAAGCAAATAAATAAATTAGTTAATTTATTTTATCAGCAGAAATCAAGTTCAAAATAATAAATTATAATTTTTTTTTTTTATAATAACCCATAATGGAAGCTATATTTAGTGTTAAGGCCTACAGTATATTCATAGTTTTATGCTTTCGGGTAACTAATCGTCATTAAAGTAGGAAATCAAGTTCTGTAATGTGATCAACATATCTGGGCCAAAGGTCAAAATTGACCAATTATAACAACTTTTTATAATATCCAATTATAAAAGCTAAAATATGGTAAAAAAGATGAAAAAAAAATTCTTTAGTCTTTTTCGTAAAGCTTGGTAACGTATTGTTTTTACAACCAATATGTGATCCAATCATTCAGTGATAAATGGGGTAGAATTATTTCAATACATGAAATATTTATGGGAAAACATTTTCAATAACAAATATTTATGCACCAAATATTGAAGATTTACAGGTTCGATTTTATAGAGAGTTACATAAGATTTTATTAGAGGTATGGCAATGTAATGAACAAATTATAATTGGTGGGGATTGCATTTTTAACCCTCTTTTAGATAAAGATGGAGGAAGAAAAATACAGAAAGATAAAGTTGTTAAAGAAATTGAGATTATTAACTCATTCTTGGATTTGATAGATATTTGGCGTCATGTACACCCTGATTAGCGAAAGTTTACCTGGAGACAAAATTATCCACTTGTCCAATGTATATTGGATTTTTCCTAATTAAAAATCAAATGAAAAATGATGTAAAATCGGTAAATGTATCTGTCTTAGAAAATGTTACAAATCTGAGTGAACAAATTGAAAATTGGAAAAAGGAATACAGTATGATGGACCCAAAAGTAAAATGGGATTGGATTAAATTTAAGGTTAGACGTTTTACAATATATTTTACAAAGAGAATTAAAAAAGAAAATTTAAACTTTATCTAATTGAGGAAACAGACAAAAATGGAAATTAAAATAGCAAACCATCACTCAATTCGACTTGTGCATGACGTTGAACAATTAAAGGCAGAGTTAAAAAAAATTTATGACAAAAAAGTCTAGGGAATTATAGTTCGGGCTAGAAGTCAATGGTATGAAAAGGGGGAAAGAAATAGTAAGTATTTTTTAGGGCTAGAAAAGAAAAACCATAATAAAAAATACGTGTAACTCTCTTAAAATCGATGGTAAAATTATAATAGACAAAATACAAATATTAAATAAGCAAAAAGATTTCTATATAAATTTGTATGAATCAAAAGGGAACGTGATAAATCAGGATGATATGAAAAATTTTATAAAGAAATTAAATATGCTAGCTCTTTCAGAAGATGAGAAATTAAATTTAGATCAAAAATTTTAAAAAAGAGGAATTTTATGAAGCCGTTAATTGCATGACTAATAACAAAAGCCCTGGAAATGATGGTCTTCCGATAGAGTTTTAGAAGCGTGTATGGAATAGTATTTGTGATGTTTTTATTAAAAGTGTTACCATAGTCTAGAAAATGGGGAATTATCCACATCACAAAAACAAGCCATTGTTACTTTAATCCATAAAGAAGGAAAAGATGAACAATTATTGAATAATTGGAGACCGATCTCGCTGCTAAACGCAGATTATAAAATAATATCAAAAGCTCTTGCAATGAGAGTATGTAAGATATTACCAAAGTTGATTCATCCAGATCAAACAGGTTTTATGAAAGGAAGATTCATTGGAGAATCAGTCCGAAACATTTTAGATATTATGCAGTATACAAAAGATGTGGGCATACTGGGCATCCTTTTATTTTTAGATTATGAGAAAGCTTTCGACTCCCTAGAGTGGAGATTTTTATTTAAAATCCTTGAAAAGTTAAATTTTGGAAATGGTTTTATAAAATACATTCAAAGTCTTTATACAAACATCAGTATGTTGTATAAACAACGATGGTTTCACCTCAGGGTATTTCCAAGTTATTCGGGGAGTCCGGCAGGCAGAGCCATTGTCCCCTATTTATTTATCGCAGCGGCGGCTGAATTCCTAGCCTGTGCCATTAGAGACCATAAAGGAATAAAAGGGATTGAGGTGAATGAAAATAACATAAATATTATTCAATACACTGAAGATATTACACTGGTTTTGGCTGATAGCAAATCCTTAGAAAAAGCCTTATCACTTATTACCATTTTCTCCACCTTTTCAGGGTTAAAATTAAACTATGATAAAACTACAGCGATGTGGCTTGGTTCTTTGAGAAATTCAAAAGATACATTACCAAGAGTAGAAGTAGCAAAATCTCCATTAAAGCTCTTGGCTTTTATTTTTCATATAACTCTCAGCTGTGTGAAAATTAAAATTTTGGAAAAAAAACTGGGGGATCTGCAGAAATGTTTAAATTTATGGAAAACACGAAATCTGACACTAATTGGAAAGATCCAAATTATAAAAAGGTTTGCACTTTCAAAATTAATTTATGTGGCCTCAGTTTTAGAGGTCCCTACTAGTTTAATTAAACAAATTGAAGACATATTATTTAATTTTATTTGGAATTGAAAAAAGGTTATATAAAAAGATCCACTCTTATTGGCCCAATCGAGAAGGGAGGTTTAAATATGGTTGATGTTGAATCTATGTTTAAAGCTTCGAGACTTAGGTGGATACAAAGACTTTTAAATGAAGAAAAGTCAAGATGGAAAGAATTTTTTAAATGTTACACAAAACATATGGAAAATGAACTGATTTTGTTTTGTAATTATAAATCGAAAGATCTTCATCCAAACAATAAAATTCCTATTTTTTTTTTTATAAAGAACTATCATACCTAAGTGAAGTGGATAAATTTACTCATGAAGGATATTGTATAAGTAGGTTCATTATTTGGAATAACCAGGATTTAGAATTAACAGTAAAACTGTGTTTGTGTATAATCAAGATTTATACAATGAGGAAGGGCAATTGCATAATTTTGATATGGATAAAAAAGAGGTCAAAAATCTCTAAACCTAAATTTGTGTACTCTAATATCAGCAATTCCAAATCAATTTAAAATGGATGCTCTACAAAATAGGAAACACAGGACACAAAACAAAAAATGAACTTTATGCTTAAATTTTAATCAGGTTATTCCATTTAAAAGCATTTAAACTAAACAGATTTACAGTTTTTTAGGAATAATAAAAATGTTAAAACTACCTCTGAGATTTTTTGGAATTCAAAATATAATTTGAATCAAGATGACTGGGAGCTAATATATAAACTACCATTTATGATACAGCATGATATAAAAAGTAGAGTTTTTCAGTATAAGATAAATATGAACGTTCTGATCACAAACCAAAAATTAAGTTAGTAGAAAATAAACTATGTACTTTCTGTAAAAAAGAAAAGGAAACAATTGAACACTTATTTGTAAATTGTACTTGTATAAATAATTTCTGGCACGAATTAATCTTATGTTGGGACAGTAAACACAAAATAAAAAGCCAAAAAATAAAAAAAAATTTCCAAAAAAGGAAGAATTAATATTTGGAATGAATAATACTAATTAAAATTTGTTGCAAAATTGCTTAATTTGGGCTAAAAAAAGCATTTATAAATGTAGATAGCTGAGAATATTACCATCTATGACCTTTTATAAAGGGGAACTAAAAAAGATTAATATAATGGAAAAGGGCATTGCTTGTAGAAAAAATATATTGGAAAAAATTTAATTTTAAGTAAAACATTGTGATTATATTTTTTTCTAGTCTGAGGGGGTTTTTTTTAAATTATTATGCTGATTTTGTTTTTTTATCTTTCATTGAGAAATTGAAAATGAAATATGCTTTTAGAAATGTAATTTTTTTAAATGTTTTTTTTTTAATTTTTGAAGTGGTTTATTTGATTTGTAATGTACATGTATGTATAATAATAATAATGAATAATTTAATTTTTTTAAATGTGATCCAATTCCATAAAGCCAGAGTTTAAATTTTATGAAACCACTTTAATGATAACAAGGTAATTGACGATGGTTATCTGTATTTGGCATTTCATTCAGCTGGAAGTAACTGATATCGATGTGTTACCGGTATCAGTCTCCTTAACCACCATGCACTATTTAACTCCAGTAAAATGTACACTGAAATGTACCGATCCATTGGATTGATATATGATGTAGAACATTAAGAGTGGATACAGTGAATGAATCAAATTAGTGAAGATGTTCGGTGAATATAGTAAATGTAAATTGCAATTGTAAACTAAAAACCATGTAAAAAAAGGAAAGATTCATGAAAGCGTATATAACAAATTAAAGAGAAAGAAAATAGAGAGATATAAACAGAATGCTTATAGAAAAGATACTGTAAATAAAGTTATGGAGAATGAAAAGGAAGAAAACAAAAATAAAAACTGGTAATACAAATAATGTATTGCCTTTATGTGGATGTATAATTTGAAATAAAGGGAACTGTGTAATATTCATGTATATTCTAAATACATTATAACTTCGACCCACACCGGACAAATAAGAAATGCTACAATCTGGCTGACCATTGATTTGGGATTTAAAAGCACAATGAATTTTCATAATTGGTTATTTTTATAATCAATTATTATAAATGAACAATTATTGTTGGTCAATATTGAACTTGAACACCAATATCGACTGATCAAAGTATATTGATTAATTTTTTTTAAATTGTGATTAGGTATATGCAAGAATAACAGATTGATATAAAACTAAATCATAGCTTTCATAATTGGTTATTTTTATATAATTATAAATGGACAATTATTATTGATGCACTTTGAAATTTGACCCTGATATCTACTGATCAAAAATTATGATTTGATATTTTTATGCTGATCAGGTTCCTAAAAGTGCAAAATAGAAATATGAAACTGAATTGTAGATTATATGATTGATTATTAAAAGTATATCATTATAATGGTCAATTAAATAGTATATTCTGACCTTTGTCCTAATATCGGCTGATCAGATCATATTGATTTCCTTAGTTTAATACAGTCATATGACCTAATAGTATAAACCAGAGCCTTGCAGGGGTCAACGTTCCTATGCATGATACATGACTTAAAAAGTATATAGGCCCTATATATATATACGCTGTCTCTTATACACATCTAGATGTGTATAAGAGACAGACATCAAAGACAATGTTTTTAATGTTTTTAAGTTTTATTTTCTAATGATGGCACTTATTCACTCTATGGATGGCACTCTATGGTTGCTGAAAATCGCTGATAAAAGATCATGAGAAATTTTGTTAGCACTTCATAATTGTGACTATAAAATGGTGATGTGATGATGATGAATTT